CTACCTCTTGAAATGGTTGAACATTAATCATTTCCTTTTGGTACAGTGACTCTGCGTAATCCTTCCATCTTCTTTTAATGCTTTCTGCATCATTCAATAATTTGCCCAGAGAATCTTTCAATAATGAAAGTGAGGCTTGAATTTTTTCCTCAGTTTCCCCAGCTTGAGAATGCTGAGCGTTCTTGAGAATGCTCAGTTCTTGCTCTTAAGGCTTTCCACTGATTGGACCAGACCCACCCACACATTCCAGTGCCACCTCCTTCACTTACAGTAACTGACTGTGGCTGTTCATCACACTTACAGAATACCTTCACAACAACATCCAGACAACTGTTCACCAGATACCTGGACACCACAGCCTGGCCCAGTGGACAAATAAAGTAAACCCTGTATGCCTCATGTACTGCAGCCTGGACCAGGGCTGATGGCATCATGGGAGCTCAGAGAAGAGAGCCGCCTCATTGCTTCTGTTTCTTTAAAGTGTGTTTCTGAACACTGAAGGGTTCATGGACGCATGTCCGGCCCCCAACAGTAGAGATTTCCTGTGACTGCTGATGGTTCCAAGCTCAGGGGCCTTTCACCAAAATCTTTGGGCATGCCTGGGCCCTGGGACAAAGGGGACTGGCCAGGCATTTACTGAGCACTTACTATAGTCACAGAATAAGTGCACCAAACCCTGTCCTATGGTCCCTGATCTATCCTTCTGTGAGGACAACAAGGGTCAAGAAGGTGACAAGCCAGGTCTCAGGGCAGAAAGTGTCCACTGTGTTGCAGAGAAACTGCCTAAGGATTGACTAGGCCACCTTGAATGGGAAAGAAAAGCTGCCCAGGCAGAGGGGGCATTTCCTGGAGGAAGCTGATGTACATGCTCTGAGACAGTGGGGCAGCCGGGCACTAACCCACTCACACACACTTACCCACGAGGCCACAGACAGGCACCCAAGAAACCCAGTCCCTGAGCTGTGAGGGGAGCTCAGGCAGAGATGCCAAGCCCTTGGAGAGCTCCCCCCAGACCCAGATGCCAGCTGATGTCTACACTACCTGCCCCCCAGGAGGCAAGGGTAGCCCCACCTGGCTCAGCCTGCCTTCCAAGTTGTCTTGGACAAGCATCTGCTCCTTATTGCCACCCAAAATCTGTTGGGCAAAGTCCACTCCTTACTGGCCCCCCAATCCCTTAAAAATTTTCATTACCCCAGGGACTCCCAAGTCTGGTTATCTTTCTGGAAATATGGAATGCTGATCTGCTTATGCCCAGGAATTAGCCCAGAGGGAAGAAGTCCAACCAGTCTTGGGGGTGTGGGGGCAGAAGTACTCTAGTTCTCTCATCCCTGGAGGGTGGGCGGGTGGTGCTGAGAAGTCAGCACTGCTGTCCACTCTGGTAGCTGGTGTGACGAACATCAGTGTCCCCTGCTGTTCCGAGCTACACATGGACGTCAGAGTCCCCCACTGTCCCGGGTTACACATGGACGTCAGAGCTGTCCCAGGTTAGACATGGGTATCAGTGTCCTCCACTGTCCCAGGTCACACACAGACATCAGTGTCCCCCACTGTTTGAGTTACACGCGGACGTCAGTGTCTCCCTGTCCCAAATTAAACATGGACTTCAGTGTCCCCCGCTGTCCCAGGTTACTCATGGACGTCAGAATCCCCCACTGTCCCAGGTGACACACGGACTTCAGTGTCCCTGCTGTCCTAAGTTACACACGGGCGTCAGTGTCCCCGCTGTCACGAGCTACATGTGGACATCAGTGTCCCCACTGTCCCGGGTTACACACGGGCATCAGAGTAGCCCGCTGTCTCGAGCTACACATGGAATCAGTGCCCCCCTTTTCCCAAGTTACACTCCGACACTATATCTGACAGTGTTTATAGATTTATATGTTTATATAGTTACATCAGGAGCAGCCGGGCCTGTGCCTGGTCCGGTGCTTCTGGCTGTATGATCTGAGCACTAGGAAACTCAGTATCCCCCTCTGTCATGTTGGGGAGGGGCAACAGGGGAGGTGGGGGATTTGCGGCAGCGGTGAGGTGCTCATTAGACATGCTTGGTGACCCAGTGGACCCTTATCCTTTGTGAGGGTGAAGATTTCAGAAGTTCTTTTTCAAGCTGAACTGGGAGCCACCACTGTTTACAAAGCTACAGGGTCCCCAAAGGAAGGCTGGGCTGTCCTCAGTGGCCCATACCTAGTGTGTCTGCACCCTGCTACCAGCAGCCTTAGATGCTCTGCATCTCCCTCCCTTCCCTTCAGCATGGGAGCAGTGGCCCCTATCATGGTGACCCCTGGATTCTGCAAAGGGAGTGACCAATGTTGGAGGAAAGACCACCTCAGAGCCTGGTACCTAGGGGAAGGTGGGTCTGCAATCAAGAAGCTGAGTGGGGGCTTAGCCAGGGAAGCCAGACCACCCCTGGTGGGGTCATCCCATCGGACCTTATCTAGACTTCTGAGATGCAAGTTGCTGCTTCTGGATGGTTTTGTGGGCTGGTTTCTGAGAAATGGGACGAAAAGGCTTTCTAGTCCTCGCAGAGACCTTCAGAGCCCATGGGGCTCCGGGGTGGCCGAGACCCACGTCGTGGGGGCTCCAGTTGGTGTTCTAAGCCAAGCTGTGGGAATGGGCAGCTTGGGAGGCTAGTCTAGTTGTGGCCCAACCTGCTGGCCACTAGTCTAGTTGTGGCCCAACCTCTCACCTGAGTTTTGGAGTGGCCACACTGGGTAAGTTGACACATGGAGCCAGGTGGGATGTGGAGGAACCAAGCAGGCCTTTTATTGAGGAATTGGTCATAGCCAAACACACACAGCCAGGGTCTCCCAGAGCCCAGGCTGGGTGCAGTGAGGGCACCCGGGTACAGCTCCACCTCCTGCTCTGCCAGGAAGGGGCTGGAGGACTAAGGTCACAGACCCTCTGGGGGACCAGGTAAACCCTGTGGGAGGGGTGGGTGGCCCTGGAAGGACTGTAGGGAAGAAGGGCGGGGACGGGATGGTGGGCTGGATTCAGGGTGGGAGAAGGTCTGCGCTGTCAGCTTTAGGTCTCCTTCTCTGCACCCCCTGGAGCAGGGATCCAGAACGGGCAAGGCAGGGCACCCTCAGCACTGGCGGCGGGTGGGGTGGCTCAGGCTCGCGCCTCCAGGGCGCTTAGGTGCACGCTGGGCAGGCAGAACCAAGATGGCGGCAGCTCCTTGCTGGTGCCGTCCTCGTGGAAGCGGATGTGCAGGAAGAAGTCGCCTGTGTGTAGGAACAGCAGGGCCCCGAGGCAGGCCGACTGGCCCGATGGCTGCACCTGGGAGGGGGAGGGGGAAGAGAATGAGGTGGCTGGGCCCTAATATCACCGGGAGAGTCCAAGAGCCTGAAGGACAGCCTGCTGGCCTCGCCCCCACGCCCAGCCCAGGGTGTCCTTGATGTGCTGCAGCAAGCAAGCTACTGTGCCTCTCTGAGCCTCGGGGTTTCTGTCTTTGAAAAGCGGATCTAGGATTCAGCTCAGGACTTGGGGTGAGTGTGGGGCAGGGGAGGAGGGGCTGGAGCTAGGTGTTGACACATGAGGGGTCAGAGAAGGGGAGGGGTCAGGAGGATGGGCAGGGGGAGGGCTCTAGGGGCTGAGAGGGGCAACGGGGTAGACAGCTAGGGTGGAGGTGGGGTGGTTGGAAATGGGGGCATGGCCGGGGGGAGGAAGAGCAGGTGGATGCTGGACTAAAGGTGTCAGGTGAGAGGATGGTGAGAATTGCTGGGGGGGGGGTGGATGGAAGGGGGCTGCTTCCTGGTTCCCATGGCCCCGCCTGCAGTGACCTTTCAGCAGGGAGGGCGGAGCTGTCAACTCTCCTTTCATTACCAAGAGGAGCTTGTTACTCTTAAGCCCCTCACTGCTGAGCTGCTGAGGGCACCATGTGCTCAGGGGTCAGCCTGCATTTGACTGGTGGGGAGGCCTGGGTCAGCCGGAGGGGAAGGGCGACTTGGAGAGGAGGTCCGGTCTGGTGGTCACGCACCGCCTCCAGGTGGAAGGTGCTGGAGCCCACGAAGGAGACTGCGTCGCGCAGGTCGTAATTGTGTACGCCATTCTGGTGGTCCTGATACGGGACCACGGTGAGGGCGAAGGGCCCCACGCTGCGCGGGCTCCGGTTGGTCAGTCGCACCTCCAGGCGCACGGGGTCGCCCACACTGCAGGCCGTGGCTGCTTCACGGTCACACGGCTGTCCGTCCACCAGCACATCTGCAAGAGACAAGAACTGTGAAGAGGCCATGCTGCCAGCCACCCTGTCCTACACCACCTCCCCCTCGACTCCCAGGTCAGTCACTCGGGCAATGGGATTCCTCTATAGGATCAGCAGATGGGGCAACTGTGGTCTGAGGAGGCACAGGGGCGCTCGGAAAGGAGGAGGGCCAGAGCCCAAGGATGGGCAGGCAGACAGTGAGAAGTGGCCAGGGTTGGGCTCCCAGGGGCAAGTGGCCAGAGAAAGAAAGAACAATTCCAGAGTCCAGGCCCTGAGTTGGATGAGCATGGAGTAGACATCCTAAGCAGAGAAGAGGGCAGGACAAATTGAGATGGGAGCAGGAAAGGGGGGCCTAGGATGGGGAGGGGTCTGGGTTCTGAGGGACCAGGCATATATGGGACTTGACAGTGGAAACCTAGCCTGTGGGATGCTGAGGGCGTACCAAATGTCTCGAAGGGGGCCCAGTCAAGGAGGTCCCCATCCCTCTTTCCCTGTTCCATCCACTTTCCTCTGGCTCTGTCCCTCAAAAGCTCTTCCCACCCCCACCTCACATCACATACAAAAATGGTTAAGCTAAAACCATAGAACTCGGAGAAGAAAACCAAATGGTAAATCTTTAGAACCTTGTACTTGGCTATGGGATTCTTAGATACAACCCCAAAAACAGAAGCAACAAAAGAAGCAAAATAAATTGGACTTCATCAAAATGCAAAATAAAAACACTGTGTTCATCCAAAAACATCAAGAGAGCAAAAAGACCAGCTACAGAATGGGACAACGTACCTGAAAATCATGTATCTGATTAGAGTTGATAGTCAGAAATATATAAACAACTTCTACAACCCAGCAAGAGAGAAGACAGACAAGCCAATGACAAAGAGTACAAAGGATCTGAATAGATATTTCTCCAAAGAAGACATACAAATGTCCAATGAGCACATGGAATGAGCTGTCGAGTCAGTTCTGACATATAGCCACTCTGTATAGAATTCCTGAGGAGTGAGTGGCTGGTGGCTTCGAACCACCAAGCCTGTGCTTAGCAGTTCAGTGCTGTTCCTATAGCCCCACATGAGAAATGCAAATCAGAACCACAGACTTCAAGTTCACCGAGATGACTACTTTAAAAACCGTAATGAAACGAAATTAAACCAACAAGTCTTAGTGAGGGCGTGGAGGCATTGGCTCCCCTGTGCTCTGTTAGTGGTGATACAAAATGGTGCAGCTGCCATGGGAAATAATTTGGAGGCCCTTCAAAAAGTCAAATGTAGAATGACCATTGTTGTTGTTGTTAAGTGCCATTGAGTCAGTTCCAATCCATAGTGACCCTACATAGGGCTTCCAAGGAGCAGCTGGTGAGCTTGAGCCGCTGCCCTTGTGGTTCAAACAGACTTTGCAGTCCAGAGAATTAAGCAACATCACACCAATGATTGCATTCACTTGCAGGCACTCAGACAGAAACCTGTCCAGCACTGTTCACAATGACCTAAGGGTGGAAATAGTTAAGTGCCCATCAACATAGATGGAGACACAAAATGTGGTGTATTTATTTACATAACAGAACATATTATTGAGCCATAAAGATCAACAAAATCTGAAGATGAGGGGACTTCAAAAAGTTGGTGGGAAAATCCCATTATCTTTCAATTACATTGCTCCATGAACTTTTTGAAGCCCTCATACATGCTGCAGCATAGAGGAAACCTTGAAAAAAATTATTCTGAGCAAAATTAGCTAGACATGAAAAACAACTTTGTACGACCCCACTAAATACAAAATACCTAGCGGAGGCAAATGCACAGACAAAAAGCAAATCACAATGCCCTGGGAGGGATAAGGATGGGGAGTTATTGTTAATGGGCACAGGTTCTGTTTGGGGAGATGCAAAAGGTTTTGCAAATCAAAGATATGCTGGTGGTACGACACTGTGAATACAAGAGGGCTTCAGAGAGTTGGCGGAAAAATTCCATCTTTCAATTCTGTTTTTCTGTGAACTTCTGAAAGCCCTTGTATACTTAATGCCACTGAATTGCCTAAATGGCTAACATGGCAACATTTATGTTATATATGCATCTTACAGAGCCCTTTTAGTGCAATGGTTAAGCGTTTAGCTGCTGACTGAAAGGATGGAGGTTCGGATCCACCCAGCAACTCTTTGGGGGAAAGACCTGGTGACCGGCTCCCATAAAAGTGACAGCCTAGAAAACCTATAGGGCAGCTCTACTCTGTCAAATGGGGTCACTGTGAGTCAGAGTCAACTTGACAGCACCTAGTAATGCCAACCATATATATATATATTGTTGTTGTTGTTAAGTGCCATGGAGTCGGTTCCGACTCATAGCGATCCTACACAGGGTTTCCGAGGCTGTAAATCCTTAAGGGAGCAGACCGCCTCATCTTTCTCCCACGGAACCGCTGGTAGTTTCGAACTGCTGACCTTGCGGCTCACAGCCCGATACACTACCAGAGCTCCATATATATATATATATATTTTTTTTTTTTTTAAACCACAATTTTTAAAACCCTGCATAAAAACCAACAACAAAAAAACCCAAACCCAAAACGCTACTCTGTCCCCTCACTGTGTGGCTCTGATATGCCTGCCCTGGGCTCCTGGTCTGCACACCCCAGGGCCAGTGGGAACAAGGTGGGCTGAGGAAATGGCCTTGGCCTAAGGCTACAGTGACCTTTGTGGTGACTCCTCCCTGTGAGGGTCTCACGTTCTGAGACACCTGCCCATGACCCTCAGGGCTACCCAATGAGGACCTGAGTCAGCAGGCTGATTTGCCAGATGACATTGCTGTGTGGGTCTAGACCTGACACATTCTCCTCAGATCCCATGGAGAAGGGAGGGGGCTGAACGTCCTTAGATGGGAGTCCAGCTAGCCCACCGCTGTGAGCAGGATGGAGACTGTGCGGCAGGGGCTGTGGTCCATGGGCCACTGGAGGGCTCTGCAAACTTGAGACTGGCAGGGGGCATAGCATCTTCTGGTAGCATCTGACAGTGAACATCACACAATGCCAGCCTGCCGTTAACCCCATTCCAACTCAGTGTCCCTGTGGGACAGAGCAGAACTGCCCCATAGTGTTTCCCAGGTGGTGGTCACCACGGGGCTGTCTCTGGTCTCAGTTCTGAGAGTGGAGAACAGAGAATCAATGGGCCCCTGACCCTTGCTGGTGTCCCTGCTGGCAGACACTTTGCATTTATATAGCTTCTCAGGGACCTTGTTCACCCTGCAAGATGATGTGAATATTGATGGAGGACTTGGAGGCTCTGAGCCAGTGATGGCTTCAGGAGGATTAGTTACCACAGCTTCTCCCATCGGCTGCCACCTCTACACCACTCACAGGAGCACCTTGGCCTCAGGTGACAGGCAGCCTTCCACACCCTGCCCATTGCCCTGGAATTCCATCTCCTAAGCCCACGTGGTGGCCTCTTGCCCTTCCTTCCCAGTGCTGGCGAGGTGGCCCTGACCGGATGTGATTACATGATGCATCCTGTAAGAGAGATGACCCCAGGTTATTCCTGAGGGCCTTAGATGTAGTCCCAGCAGTCTTTATAGAGCAAGAGAGTGGGAAGGAATATTGATTGATTGATTGATTGAGTGACTGCTGCCGAGGCTAAGATGCTCTGGCCTAAGGAATGTGGGCACTCCCTAACCAGAACCAAACCCCATCCACTACTCTAGAGACATTAGACTCACTGTGACCCTGTAGGACCACCTAGAACTGTACCCTAGGAAGTCTGAGGTGGTAAATCTTTACAGGAGCAGACTGCCCCATCTTTCTCCTGTGGAGAGGCAAGTGGGCTTGAACTGTCAACTTTGCAGTTTACAACCCAACACTTCATCTCTATTGTTGTTGTTGGCTTCAACCCATATCGACCCTGTATGGGTGTCCAAGGAGAGGCTGGTGAGCTTGAACCACCGACTGGTGGTTCAAACTGACTTTGCAGTCCAGTGCATTAGCCCCCAGCACCAGACCACGTGGTCTCTAGAAACTGGAAAAGGCAGGGAAGTGGTGCTGTTGGCCTGAGCCTAGCAGTTCAAACCCACCAGCTGCTCCACGTCAGAGTCCACTACAGTGGGCTTGGTCTGGGGATGTGTGGAGACTAGGCTGTGGCCTGCCCCACAATTCCCAGTCCTGCAGGGGAGGTGCTGCACTCTGAGCTGGGTGACACTGGTCCCACAGTTCCCAGTCCTGCGGGGGAGGTGCTGCACTCTGAGCTGGGTGACACTGGTCCCCAACATCTCACCTGTCCTGTTATAGGGAGCTCACCTTTACTGTGGCTGAAATGAAGCCCTGGATCTGTGACCACTCACAGCCCTGCCCCCACAGGGTTCCCACAGAAAAGGAGCCCCACCAGTGGAGGTACAGCCTCACCCTAAAGGTTAAGCGGAGTCCTGCTCACTTGTCATCCTAAAATCCAACCCACCTACTTGTCCTTTCCCTCCACCCCTGCCCCTACCAGGCCGACATGCTGTTCCATGCAGCTAACCACTGCCTCCCAGCAGGCCCCGGGATAGCCTCAACTACTGCCGGCGGGGGAGGAGGGGCTCTGTGTAAAAATGCACCTCCCTTACATCCTCGGCCACAGTCACTCTACACGCAGGTTAAAGGGGAGCAATCGGTCCTGAGCCCTACTTTGCTCCCTGCTCTGCTGCACCACCTCCTTGCTGAGTCTCAAGGGAGCCCAGCTCTCTCCTGCCCCAGGGCCTTTGCACCTGCTGTTCCCCCAACCTGGCCTAACCACCCTCAGATCTTCCCAGCTGGCTCCTTTCTGAGGTTCACCTCTCGACTTGGTCCACAGAGAGGCCTTGTCTGCTGGTCACAGCCTCATGTTGTATGGCATCCTCTGGGAGCAGACCCAAGCCTCTTCTGGGAAGGCATTCAATGTGTGCCTGCCTCATCTTTCTCCCACCCACTCCTCTCTTTGACATTGAACTTCGGTTGAAGCCGTGGACATCATCTGCTCAGAGTCTGAGAGGTGATGTGGGAGCCT